GAAACACAGTCGAGGACTGACAGTGGCGTTATCGAAAGGCAAAAAAAAAAAAAAAAAAAAAAAAGACGGGCCATCTTAATGGAGAAAGCCTCGTGTCACACTGAAGAGAAATAAATAAAGCAGGGGTTGATTTATGATTGTGCTTTGAAGTTGTCTTTCAGCTGCTGTGTATTAAAACTTACAGTTTTCTGACCTGCGTTTTGGGTAAGACACTCAGGAATTTAATTAAAACAATTGGTGATCCGAGTGAACCTCGTGAAAATAGTTTTAGCTTTATTAAAAATAATTACCTGCTCTATTAACATGGTGCTGGAACTGTAACAAGTTATATCTTGATTACGGCTTAAAACCATTGAATCTGATTCATCGTGATCAATTATTGAAAATAATCATCGACTGATTTGATAGTCGGTTATTGATGCGAATGACCAAACATGCATGTAAGGAATTATATGTTATTGCATTTTGGGTAATAAGATGTTGATTTTGTTATTCGGGGAAAAAAAATTACTGAATTATTGCTTATTTGCATTTTTATGTATTTTTTGTGTCGTCACATAAAAAGTCTGCAGAATGTACCAATTCTTTAAGATATCAGTGCTTGACATGCAAGTAGATTAGGATATCTAAATTTGTTCACATAAGAGCAAAAAGAGGCTCTGTTTGGGAAGCGACATGAAATCATGTAAAGACGGTGATGTAGACAAAAACTCTCAAGATGATGATTGGGGTGTTTCACAAACATTTCCACAAAATGGAATAGCTTTTTAAGCCCATAACTTACCTGCCACGACACAGCTCCCAGTATGACAGTCGACAGCAGACTAAAGAAGACGAGGCGTTCTGAAATGAGGCAGAAGTGTCGGATGCCGCGAGAGGCCATGACCTGGTCCAGACTCCGTCTACTTGACGGATGGGCCCGCCAGGCTTTCTGGCAGTCGCTCAGCTTGGTGTGAAAGCCCCAAATAGTGATCAGCAAAATGATGTGGCAGATGGCCCAGAAAAGGCCAAACAGGCAGAAGCCGGGGATCACCAGATACCAAAGCTCCAAGTGGCCAAGCTGTCCGAGACAAGGTAACAAATATATATTGATTAGATGAAGCCATATGATAAACATTGCCAAAATGCTCACAACCCTTGCAATCCTCCATGTGGATAGACAGACCAACTCAAAGGAGGTGGGAATTCTGTAGAGGGAGGCGAATGATAAATGTTTTCTTTTTTTTTATAGATTTATTTTTTACCAAAAGTTATCTTTCCGCTTCAGTTTGTCACACTTTGCGGTTTAACATAGCAGAAATGCGGAAAAAGTTCATAAAATAAATGAATAAAAAAAACTTGTACACGACTAGACTAGTCAAGGTGATAAATCTTGCTGGATAAATTGTCCCAGAAATTATTGTAATTGTGGTTTTGACACCATGACAATGGAGGGACACATTCTCAACGATCAAGAGATTTTACATTGATTTACATGGAAGAACTGTAACTGGATGTTTACTGATTTTAAAGATACAAAATAAATAAACATTAATAACAAATAAGATGAATTATGAAGGTCCTTTAAACAAAATCTTCCCTCAAAAAAAAGGTATAGCTGAGACCAATGCAGCAGACTGAAAACTTTTGTCATCCAGTTTTTGGTGGAAAGAGAGAAAAACAATGAATTATGCGAATGGAAATCATTGCGCACTTTCTACTTTATCAGACCGACACGACAATTAAGTTGCTTTAAATGAACAATTCCCTGACAGTGATGTTCTTACCTTTAAGGCAGCGAAGATGAAGAAGGCCACCTCCATTAGACACAGAGGAAACAGGGACAGTCTCCTCCACACCTTCCCCAGTGAGAGCACTGGCATCCAGCGCTCACTGGGCCCAAGCCCACTAAAGTACACGTCCAAAACGGGCTCACAGAGCTGCCTACCCAGATAGCAACCTAAGGCATAAGGGTTGGCTGCGATGTCTAAGGCCTGAAAGAACACAAGAGAAGTAACCAACGCAAAACAGATCAAGTTGGGCAAAGCTAGAAGGGATTTCATCCTCAAGTCCACAATGAGAGCCCCCAGAGCCACCACCAAGCCAACAATGGCTGCCGACTTGGAAAGGAGCATCGTGGTGCTGGCGATCCCAAATCCGAGCAGCTCGAGCCACTCAGACGACGACAGCAGCATGGGTTTGTAGCGGACGGAGCGGCATATGCGCTCAGTTACGGCCCACACCGCCTTCATCACCACGCTGGCCACAAGGAGATAGTTGGCAACAAGTTCTGTAACGTTCGAGTCCAAGGCGGGGCTGTTGAGGAAGCACAGGAGTCCCAGCAGGAAGCCAGACCACAGGTGGAACAAGCTGAGGCTGGCCTTCTCCATGGCAAAGTAGTAATGGAGGATGCTGGCGATTCCCAGGACGAAGAGGCCGAGGATGAAGATGACCAGGATCATGGGTTCGCTCGTCACCTCCCACCGTACGTACATGCCGACGCACACCGCCACCAGGAGGTTGATGCTGGACAAGTAGCCCAGGCAGCACACGGATGTGAACACATCCACCTCCTTCGGTGCCGCCTTGACCGTCAGCTCCTCTTCCTCATCCTCCCGATCCATGGTTGGCTTGAACTCCACTTATCCAAATGCGGAACAAAGAGAAAAACACCGGATCAATGTCCTGCTGTTATTCTCTGGGCACTTCTGACCAGAGGACTGTGCCTCATGTTGACCTTCCACAAAATCAACCCCTGTACGAAAAAAAAAAAAAAAGATGATAAATGATTACTGGAAAATAAGGAGTCATAAATGTAACTTTCAAAGAAAAAATAAAAATAGTTACAGCAAACTATTCAGAGTTTCCAGCTCATAACTCCCTCGATTGGTTTTTATGCTTCCGTCTTTGCTGTCCCTTTAAAAACAACTTTGATCTTTGTGCTGCAGACTGCAGTTGGTAATATAAAAGGATTATGAGAGCACATAGTCTAGTCTTAACAAAACCCAGATTTTGCCCAAATGAACGAACGGAAGGACGGATGGATGAATTGCTGAAGAGGTTTTTGACTCAATGAAAAATATCCCCCCCTCACTGTTTTGTTGTCACTGGTGAAACTATACACCACCACAACAAATGCGAGCTCTGGACTGAATAAAAGCACTATCCTGGATCAAAAACTGGCCACTTATTAACATTTATTTGATGAAGAATAACTCACATTTGTAAAACAAAACAAAGTTTTTTCAGACAATTTTTCGCAGGCCTACTACTAGAATATTCGGATTCTTTAGTGCTGGTGATTTTTTACAACACAGCTGTCCCTTATTCATGCTCATATTATCTACATGCAGATTAAAATGTGGCTCCAGTTTATGGACAGTTGTGCTCTCATTTCACATGATCTCGGACCTAAATCACCAAGACAACTTAAAATGTTGACTCCGAACAAGCTCGAAAAAAACCCATCGAAACGTTATCAGTCGTCGACCAGAATGTATGTGAGTCTTGTTCGGTCAGCGTTAAAAGCAAACTGAGGCCCTGTTGTCTGTTTGTGGCGATGTGGCACTCGCTGAAGCTGAAAACTTTGCTCACTGTGTTAGCTTCCCCTGCTAACACTGCGTCTAATTTGTGACGGCTTTCTAACTTGCGGGGGCAACCAAGTGTTTCTTACACACCTGCTAAGAATAAAACAGCGGGAAACAAATGTGATATCTGTTTTATGATGGTGAAAAAAGAGAGAAGCGACTTACATGATGGGCGTTTAGTTGTCAACAGTACTGCTTCCGGATTCCTCACTACGGAATCTCGCTGGGGTAAAACGTATGTCGCTTCGCTTTTTTGTTATACAGAAGAAAACAGCTATTTCTTCTGTATTTGTGTAATAATGCCCCACAAATATAACACAGAAAATCACCTTAAAGATACACCTCACATTCCTTAAAGCATTTAATCAAACATGTAATACTATTGCTATTATTACTACTACTACTACTAATAATACTACTACTAATAATAATAATAATACTTGTGCTTTACATGAATTTAGAAGAAAATACAAAAAAAAAAAGAAAAAAAAACAGCAAAACCAAAAGAAAGAAAAATTTAAAGCTACATTTTGGTTCCCCATGTTTAATAAAAACAAGAATAAGTGGTCCACATTTTTTTTTCATCTGGAAAATTCAAAATTTTTCAAAATTTTCCAGGCTATACAACAAACTTGTTTGCTTATGAGCTAAATATAATGTTTATATTTACAATAATATATATATATATATTTTTTGCTTGTGCCTTTTGAGAAATTCACTTCTCTTAACATGGTATGGTGATGAACTGATTCAGCTTCAAATTTTGCATGTTGAACTTGTTCAAATAAAATAAGTTCTGACTAATAATAAAAATTTAGAGATGAAAATAAATAAGGACATATTTAGTTAGCATTTTCTATTGGTCCCAAGTTACCCTTTTTCACACACAAAGACATAAAACAATAAAGACCTTCTCAGAACGCAGACAAAATGAAAAAGGATTCTGACTTTAACTTTACGTATGTGTGGGAGAGATAGAAACAAAGAAGAGCGAGTATAAGAGCATGCTGCTTTGATCAAAATTGACAAAAGGCACAAGTGGGAACACACGCTCTTCACACAAATATGCACACACACATGCACATTGGCCTATTTTTAAAATCTTTACATCTGAAAATAGGATGTAAACAGTGGGATGTTCTAGGATCTGCAGCCTTAAAGGATAAATCAACATTGTGATCAGAGAAACGTCTTAGATAATGGCATCAGGACTTGATGACCAAATACAAATCAACTAGCATATTAAAAACTCACAGTCATTCAAAATGGAGCATTCAAACATAAAAAAGAACACGTCTTGAAAATTTTCATGATTTATTTTAGAATGAGTTTTTTAGAAAGGTAAAAAAAACAAAAAAACAAAATGGTGTTTCATTTTACCTTTTGTAAGCAGGAGCTTTATAAAGTGGGATGTAGACCATAAGCACCTTTATTTGTGGCTACTGAACAAATCTCAAATTCCCTGGACAATGCTTGAGAAGAAAGGCTTTTCTTGCAGCATCTGTTGGCTTTCAGCGCTGCAAAGAAACAAAGGAATCTGACTAATTGATTCTAATCCAGTTTCATTTATAGAAATGCAAAACATGCTGTACCGTGTCTTTTGTTGAACTATGAATCCAGTCTGCTTGGTACTTGAGCTCTTAAAAAAATAAAATAAAATAAAAATATTCACTGTCCTGAGACAATTAATGAGACCAAAAAAATCATTAATTCTCTTCCTGTGATGAGGCAGAAACAAACAGAAAAGTTTCACTTGATTTTTGCCAAGGCAGTTTTAAAGGCTTCTGGTTATTTCTTCCAAATTCATTTATGTCTGCACAGGGAACTAGATAAGTACCAGAACTGAGGGGTGGTCAGGAATTTAAGTAGATGCTTGCACGTACATATGATTGAAGAATTTTATCAATTTTTTTTCCATGAAACTTTTGCATCATGAGCTTTTTTCTGATGAAACAGCAAAATACAACCATGTTTGCCAAGGAATTTGACGTTAAAGACAGAATCAATTTAAACAAAAAAAAAAAAAGATCTAAAAGTTTACATCTTCACAAAAACAAACCTTATTTCATATGTACAGTAGCCTGTAAAACTGGCTATTACCCCTGACCCAAATCGCTGCACACCCAGAAACTCCAATGCATTTGGAGGACAATAACAGAGTCAGGTCATAAAGTACAGTAATGCCTCAAGATTTAGGCATCTCAAGCCTAAATCTAAAATATGGAAAGAGTATGGAACAGCTGAAAACCAACCAAAATATTGTTGTCCACCTGAACTGAACATAAAGCAAGGACAACATCAATCAAAGAAGCAGCACGCAGGACAAGATGGAAACCACGAGACATGCTGTTAGCAGTCTTTCTATTATTAAAAACAACCATATTCCTACCAAAGATGAAATGTAAATGCCCTGATCTTTACAACTGTCTCATCGCATTGCGACGGCATACCTGGTGCCGCAGATTCATTATACCAGTGCAGAGATTCCGGAGGTGTGATTGGAAAAAATCAAAAAAGAAATCTCAAAAGGAGGGGAGGGCAACATAAAAGAATCTATTTCATCTCGCTGCCTCACAGGGGGATTTTATCTATCAGCCTCTGTTAAGTGTCACTGCACAAACGTCTAAGATGTTTGGCATTTAATTATGGGCTACCTTTTTCTGTGGCTTTCGTCTCAGCAGTGCAGAGTGTGGCTGAGAGGAGCAGCCACAGCTAATTTCACATAAAGGACTTATTTTCACTTTGGCCACACAAAGTGCATTTCTTCAGTTTCATCTTCTACAAGGCCGTCCTTTCTTTTTGTCCACACGCAAGCACGCACGCACACGCACGCACGCATGAGGGGACGCCAGCTGTCTGAAGAGGTCTGTTCAATCAGAGATTCATCTTCAGAGAAATCAGTGTGATGGAGAGTTGAACCCAATCTGGATGTTAGCAGAGGCGGATTGCACGAGGAGCCTTAATGAAAAAGGTTCACTGTGTTTAGTATATCCATCAGGGCTGAAATGAAAAATCTGAAACGAGAGGCGTGTGACTTCAGCTGGTATGATTAGACAAGCTGATGACTGGTGGCTGAAGAGTACGGAGATATTTAATAAACAGAAAAGTTTTAGAGGTCAGACTCCAGAGGAGACTATTTATATAATAGTCTGTTTCTTGTTTTAGGCCATTTTTAATGTGATTGCTCTGGGTGTGCTTTGACTAGGCCTCTAATTTGTTGAATTTCTGTTCCTTGAAAGAAAAAAAAAATGGTTTATGACACTGTCAAAGACCTGCGGTTTACAAGAGAGAAAACAGGACTGGGATGAACTAATAGACATCAAAGAAGTTAATGAAAGGAAAAAAAACAAGCTGAAGTCTTTATGCTGGCATTTGCCAACTTGATAATAACTTTCAACTGGACAGCAGAGACCTGCACATCTTCTCTGCATAGCTAAGCTTTGAATAAAACCACCAGTTGAGAGCAGTAACACATTACCATTTCAATTTAGTCATTTTCCCCAAGATCACTGAGTGAGGCAGCAATGGGTTTTTAATAACACAACCTGTTCAGTCCCACTGGGCCGTGACGATGAAAAGTCTGATTTATTAATTGTACCGGTGAGGAGAGGGGGAGGGGGAAATAATGCTTCAAATAATGTTTGCACCACTGTGAAAGATGTCGCACACTCTCTTGAAGTCGACCGGTCGCCTCGGCAGAATGGATTTTAATTCTGTGATCAACAGAGCTTATGATCACTGCATTGTTCATTAAACACACACCGTTTCCGCAAATGAGGGATTCGACTCCTATCTCCGCCGGTTAGCGTTAAAGCACAGCCATTTGTAATTGACCTGGATTAGGCTGCCGTTTGTCAGGTCTGGACGGCTTCCGGTTGCACTTGCTCCACTTTTAACGGACAAATCGGGGGAAAATTGTGGTCAGCTGATTTTTCGTTTATGCCCCGCCGCCACAACACAGATGGGCTTGTAGAAAACAATGTGACACAAAGAAGGGGAAGCCATGCCGTGCTTTCTCAGGTTGAATAAATTAGCATCTGTTTTCCAGAGATTTTGAGATTATTCCACAAGTAGGTATTACTTCAATTCCCATGTAGTATCAATATGACTCACTATAGGCCCATCAGAACGGGAAAGACAAGAAAACATGCTATTCAGGTAACGCATTGGTCTTGTTCCTCAAAAGTCAGGGAATGGCTAATTGCCTAACATGAACAGTCAGAGCAATAAATATGCATCGCAGCTTGTTCTTTCTTGATCCCGAACGTTGACTGTCAAGAAACCATGCCGCCACTTTTTATTTACCCATGAAATTGTTGCTCAATTGCGTTGTCCACCAACATAGTTATTTTGGTTAGTCGGTTGGCACACAGCCCTGTGGAACCCCTACTTGGATGTGAGAAAGCCTTTCACCCAGAAACTAGAAATGTAGACTACCTGGCGTTCCTGTTTGTCAACTTTCCCAAGCTCTGATTTGGGTAAAACCTTCTGTTTTCTTCTTTTCAGAGCTGAGATTGCATAGCTGGTGCAGAGTATGCACGCCGTCCATGTTTCCTTGATTTGATAATATTGTCTTCCGTCGACCTGGAAGTGAAGAAAACAGGAATGTGAATGCCGAGGCTGCCACGTATGTTTCCTCCAAATGGACCTCTGAGTGCACTCTAAGTAGCACTAAGTGGTTCCGTCCTCAGGCCAAATCTTTTTCATTACTCAAGCTTGGCATAATGTTTCTGAAGAGACATCTATATAGCGAGATGGAAATAAGGCATAAATGACCATAGAAAAACGAAAGATTTTAACATTGATGCAAAAAAGCAGTGGTGTCACAACATAAAGTAGATTATATCTCTGCTCAGCTCTCATACCCTACAAAAAACGGTTGTCATGGCAAACAGATGCACTCCTCTAACTTTTATTTGTTGTGAATAACATCTTCTGTCCAAGTGCAACCTGTAGAAATTCAAGGCATTTTATTTTTGCGCATCAAACATTTGTATGAAAGTTGAAACATGTGGGACTGACTGTGTTTCAGAAAGAAGGAAGCCTGTTGTTTTACTTTGAAACCCAGGGACTTTTTGATGCGGCGCAACAGTGGAGCCCGAATCAGCTCGATTTCTGCGTCTCGTATGACGTCATCAAGTAGGATACACACACCGCCTGCTGAGAAGTTGTTGTCCCCTTTTTGAACATGCATTTTGCAAAACGACACGATCAATCCTTTAGTATCTGCTTGTGTTTATTATCCAATTTTCTTACAAAAAAAGTTGCAAAAACACACAATCTGGCCCTAATTTTGTGACATTTTTTGATTTATTGTAGAAAATCCCACCTCTCTGTAGCACAAGACTTCTCCCCCCATCAAACTGCCTCATTCTTTTAATGTTTGCATGAGTCCATGACGTGTCCTTGAGAACCACTTGTACTTTAAAACAGACATGCGTCCTGACACGGGTCCATCTGGTGCCCAGCACGACATGTTGAAGCGGGACGTCGGCGATATACCTTGCCTGATTTGCTGTGCAAAACGACACGCTTCGCAAATATCTAGGGCACAATCACTTTCATGGGCATGTTGAACACTAACGCAAAATAAACCAACATCTGAAGGCATAATGAGGCTACAAAGCTTTTGCTGTCACTAATATTATACAGTGGACATAAAGAGTGTTTTCATTTTACAGATTTATGCTGTTTTTAATTTAATCAGACAAAGATTGCTTGATTTTCTGACGTGACCAAGTCTAAACTTAAATGTGGTTCATGCTAAAACAAAAAAGAAAAAAAAAATCCCTCCATTATGGCTGATATAAAAAAGAGTGATTGGAACCAGTTATGAATGGAAGAAAAGTGGCATAATAATAAATAATAAAACTGCTAAGAGCTATTAAGACCAATACTGATTAAAGGAAGCAAATTCCAACAAGCACAAAAAACAGAAATAGTGAATAAATAAAGTCATACAAATGAATAAATTAACTTATCGTCTATGACAAGTTGAAAACTGATCCAAAAAAGAAAATTATCAAAACATAACCACAAAAAGAGCAATGATGCAAACAGCTGTTGAGGCTGAAAGTGGCACAACCAGTCATCGAGTAAAGATGCACAGAATGAATTTTTTGTATTTTTTCTTAGCAGCTTAAAATTGTACAGAAGACAATTAGGGCCACGAGAAATAAAGCAAAAAAAAAATCTGACTTTTCTTCTCTGACCTTCTAAGAAAAGGTCAAATACAAAGATGATATTTTTGATCAACTCAAACATGTAAGTGTAACAAAAAAGCAATGCTTATTTATAATCGTACACCATCAAAAGTAAACTCTTTACTACCATCTTTCTCAACTACACTGTTCTAGAAAGCTTTGCAGCGAAAGCTATTTGCCTGGTTTTGTGAAGCAGGCAAATAGTGACTTGGGTTTAGAAACATGGGATTGACAGGTGCCAGCGACGGAGGCTGGATTTTGTCGTGCTTTTTCCAAGAGGCTGGTGTCGCTCGCGGGGCCTGTCGGCGAACACAATCGCTGTGGATCACACCAACAGCACGCCTAATCCCCAAAAACAAACTGCCAAAGACCGACTACTTGCTGCTTAAGACGCAGCACATTGTCGGCTCTCGAAACGTGTTGCGGCGAATTTGTGAAAACACGGGGATCAGGACGCCGTCTGGGCTCTGGCGAGTGAGTCACTCGGAGAGGAGGATGGGATTCCTCCTCTCTCTTTCCATTTCTCAGAACCTGGAGCGCGAGCCTCCGACACACATTTACTCACACAATGTCAAGGTGAGCGAGTTAAGCACTTTCATGCATCATTAGAACAGTAATAACGGCTCAGAACTGCCTGTCTATTGAGATGCCTGATTGGCGTGAAAATGACTTCTAAAATACATTTTACCTTAACAGGTCATTATGGGGTAAATGTCACATAGGTGTGTGTGCGCGTGCGCATTATTACCCTGTTTAAGATGTGCGAAATGAGTCAGTGAAGGTTCATGATTGTGCAATTAGCAAACGCTAAACAACCTCCTCCATCTTTCTGTTGAGGCTGCGGGTCCTTTGCAAGGATCACTATGAAATGGAGGGAGCAGAAAAGCCAAAGTACACCTGTATTAATTTCCTTAAAGGCAAATATTGAAGATAGTTATGCGTAGTCACTGCATCTGCTCTGCCTGATTAGAAAAAGTATAAAATACTAATAGGTTCATTTTTTTTGTGTTGTTTGTGAGCTTGTGACATGATGGCTATGCAGGATAGATTCAAAATAAACCTTAGCCCAGATCGAAAAAAAGCCCTATTAAATGGGACTGTTTGGACGTAAATGCCATCTCTGTCATTTGCATTGATTAGAATTCCTTAAACTTTTATTTATTCACTATTGTGCAATGTCTGCACATTTCTCCTGGGTTTTTAGCATTTTAGCCACAAAAAGGCATCAGGTGTGGGAAGTTAGAGTTTCTGCAGTAGGCTGATTAAATTATCAACATGTGGAGTGTGACGATGGGTTTTCTTCCTCCTTTTTTTTGTTTTCCTTGAGAAAAAATATGCAATAACAAGAGTCTTTTGACATTTATTTGTGCGTAGTACAAAATACAACTCAGATCTGATCTTGCACTATCTCTCTTTTCCAAAATAATCCCTTTTGAATATCCTCGATAGGCCGCAAGTCTAATCATAACCACTTCTGAAATGACAAACAGCGAGAAGCTTGTCATGAAGGTAAGGGAAGCTTCAAGGTTTTACTTTTGCTGCAGTCCCTGATCACTAGCAGGCATGTGAGTAAGAGGAACAAGCTCCCTTTTAACAAGACGAAATCTCCTGCAAAACCTGGCTCTGTATGTGTGGCCCCGCGCCATGGCCGACTGCGGCTTGGAGATTACAGAACGGAAAAACAGGAAAACACAGTCGCTGAGCCAGGTCTACTTTCCAAGTTTAAACAACAACAACTCCAACAGCAGCAGCAGCAAAATAAAACAAGAAGAGCTCACCAGCAATAGTTTCCTTGCACAGGGAGTGGGCACAATGAAAGAATCAATTTTCATTTTACTTAAAGTCATATGTAGAATTTGAATTAAGAGCTCAAGCAACTTTCGAATACGCATTTGCTTAGTTTAAGAAACAAACAACCAAAAAAAAAATCTGTGTCACCATAAATATTGCTACAGAAATATGGGTTTTGTGGAAAGTTTAAGCTTTTACTGCTTGGGACTCTCTATAAAAAGGCAATTAAACCAATTGCTTTTGAATACGTGGCCAAAATTGCCTCACAATTAAGTATGGTTTTACACAAATTAGAGTTTTGAAAAGCATGGAATTCAGATATCATAATATCCCTGAGATTATGCTGTTTGGCCGTCCGAGAGAAGCAAAAGAAGTCTTAATGTTGTCTAGAAATGTAGAATTCTGGATTTCAATAATTTGTTCCTCTGTCTCAACTTTAAAGTAAAATGCGGCAAGTTGTTGAACTGTAGGTCACATTTAAGCAGTATGCAACTTTTGGAAAACCCTTTTTCTCTTTTTTTCCCCCAAGAATTCCCATAAAAGTCCCCACAGCTAAAAAATAAGCTTTTAAAGGCCTCTTAAATTCTGACATTTGGCGTTGCTCCGGCCAGCAGGCAGTAGATTTTCGATTCATTTCAAATGAAGTTAGTGCATAATCTTCCACTTTTTGTAAAGCCATAAGAAATATCAAAGCCAATTTTCTCGTGGGTCGGCCCTTAGGTTGCCCAAAGATTTAGAAGGGAATGCTAAATAAAGTAATTAGGCTGGGTGAAGGGGTATTGAGTTCAGTGGTGTCACAGGAGGGCTCATGAGTTAAAACGGCCAAATTACCAGCTGATGAGTCTTCCACACTGAGCAGTGATCATTTGAAGAACGACATAATTATCTTAGTAAACAAGTAGGAGCTATTCTTTACCTCGTCTCTCTTTTCTGCGGTTTCATGAGGCTGAATCAGAGCGTTTGCACTGTTGATCTTTCATGTCGCTCCATTATTTTTGAACTGAAAGACAGCGAGCCTCAGTCGAAACTTATTTCCTTTCTCTGAACTTTTGTGAGCCACTCGCACGTCATGAAATCCACAGATGTGCTGCCAGAGCTAGACAAAATAATAGTAATGAAAACAATGAATAAGCAAATAGAGAAATAAAATCGTCCTGATTCATTCTCTTTTTAGAGCTCTGAGTGGCGTTTGAACAAAGACGCCAATCACCAGAGAGAGAGGGAAACCATGTCGAGATGTCGCCAGAGCAACTTTCCCTCAAGAAAGCTCTCCTTGTGATCCTGTGCGATTAAACAAAAGTACACTTTTAAAATGGGACCCGGAAATTTTCTCGAGTCTTCCAGGGGGAGACGGAGGAAAAATAGAGGGATGTGGGTGGAATGAAAACCAAAGTAATGAAAGAAAGTATACTGTAAGCCCTGCAGCAATATGAGGATTTATTACGATGTTCGACCCTGGAGAGCAAATAAAGCACAGATTAAATAGAACGGTGGCTGTATTACCTCACGTAGTCAAGCTACTTTAAATTTCGCACATATTGCTTAGTCAGAGCATTGAAAAAAAAAAA